TGAAAGCAATTTATAAGCTATGCTAATCATATGCAAAATCTTGGCATTTCAGAGCTACCTGTATAGAGATGGTGACGTCACTGGCATGTACTCATCATGGACGACAGTACCTTGCTCAGGAAGGAGTAATTGATCAGATTTCTAACATAATTGTGGGGGCCGATTCAGACCCTTTCTCTAGCTTCTATTTGCCAGGTAAGAAACACTGGTGCTTGTGGAAATAATGGTATGTGTTTTGTTTCTGAGTTACCTCTGACCAGGAAGGCTGGGGCTGTTTTCTCTGGAGCTGATCCCCTTGGGATGATGCCCATAGCCCCTTAATGAAGTGGGATCAATTGCTCTGGGAGCCACGCAGTCTTGATTCTGATTTTTTTTGGAAATATTACTGTTTAGAGCATTAGGATGTTTCCCTTGAACCTCAGCCAAAGGAAACATAAATAAAACTACGAGTGATGACATTTATAGTATGTTTCACAGATTCAGCAGATCTCTGAGTTGGAATCTTTATCTAATACAGAATTACTCTGTTCTAGGACATGGCTGATTACTTTTTCTTGAGTACTTGCAGAAATTGGAGGTTAATGCTTTCCTTAGGTAGCTTCGTTTATTTCATTGATGAGCATCTCTGTTTAAGAAATATCTTCCTGATAGTGACTCCAGACTTTCCTTCCTGTAATGTGTATAGACCAGTCCGTGCTCTTCTCCCTCTTGCACATGACAGTGCTTCAGTCCTTGGACCCAGCTCCACTGACACCCTGGGGTTTCTCTTCCCTCAGGAGCACATATCACAGGTCCTTCAGTGTCTCCTTATGGTCTGTCTGATTTCCAGGCAAAACAGTACCATAACCTTTCTCCTCTCTCTGGCCTGTAGTTTATTGCTATCCCATGAAAACCTAGGGCCCACAATTTATGCTGTCTTTTCCTCTACTAAAATACATTGTTGTCAATATCTTCAGGATTTGTGAAGTTTTTTGGAAACCTGGCTATCATGGATAGTCCTCAACAGGTCTGTGAACGTTACCCTGTTTTTGTGGAAAAAGTCTTTGAAATGATGGAAAGTCAGGACCCCACCATGATTGGTGTAGCAGTGGACACGATTGGAATTCTGGGATCCAATGTTGAAGGAAAACAGGTTTTACAGAAAACAGGTTGGTATGATTTGTTTTGGCTTTCCTTAAGGATATCTTAATTTTTGATAAAGATTCGTTATGTAAGTTCATTTGCTGGTGTGTTAGCTGCATTACAGATGACAGTCTTTTTACCATGACCTTGGACTATCCCTAAAAAGTCTCATAGTTACTACTGAATTTTTTTTTTAAACTTGGCTGGACCAAACATTCTTTCCTCTTTCTGTCTTCCTTAAATAGTATTCATGGTACAAAGACCATAGTCTGGAGTCAGAAAGACCTAGATTCTTGTCCCAATTCTAACACTGACTTAGCTCTCTGGACTTCACTTACTCATGTCACAACTTTAGGCCTCATTTTCCTCATTTTTTTTTAATGAAAAGAGTATAATAGCTACTTCTCAGAGTTGTGTAAATATTTAATGAAAAAGATACATTTGTTTTATATTTGTAATGTCGAGAAAGGAACAGAAATAAAAATCTGTTATAAAATTTTATGTCAGGAGTGATCCTTGTATGGCACATCCATGATTATCTTGCATATATTATAAATTCTGCACACAAAAAATAATGTACAGCACTGTTAAAGCCCTTGTGAAGTGTATGTTGGAAATTGATATGCTGTTGTGTATCACAACTAATACCCATGTCATGTGTACTCTTCTAAGTGCATGTGCCTTTAACATATAAACCGTTCGCAGTCCTGCAGAGAACATATACCATTGTCATTCTTACTTTACAGACAAGGTAGCTGAAACTTAGAGAAGTTAAAATAATTTTTCTAAAATCATTCAGACTGTGGGGCAGCTGCTACTCAAATCTAGGTCCTTTGATTCCAGGTCCTCTGCACTTTGACTTACATATGCTGTGTTGCGTGGGAATGCGTTTTAGGCCTGTCACTTGGTCTCTGACTACCTGTTTAGTTCTATGTTGGTTTAGGTTGGGAGCAGTCATAATATATGAAATCCTACTTTAAAAAACTCATTGTTCGATCAATAGCCATTGGAACGGCTATTATTTTTTTTTAAAAAAGCAGCAAATAACGTGTGTTGACAAGAATGTGAGAAATTGGAACCCTTGTGAATGTCTGAGGGGAATGCAAAACGGCACAGCTGCTGTGAAAATATGGTGATTCCTCAAAAAATTAACGTAGAATTACCATATGATCTAGCATTTCCACTTCTAGGTGGAATTCCAATTCCATGTGGCACCTCGAGTAGTCAAATTCCTGGAGACCGAAAGCAGAATAGTGGTCACCAGAGGGCTTGTGGGGGAGGGGGAGAAGGGGCTTGTTAGTTATTGAGTAGTTTCAGTTTGAGATGATAAAAAAAAGTTCTGCAGATAGATGGTGGTGATGGTTGCATAACAATGTAAATGTACTGAGCCGTATGCTTAAAGATGGTTAACATGGTACATTTTATGTGTGCTTTACCACAAAAAAGTATATCTTGTTACCCTTCAAAGGAACTCGCTTTGAACGCTTGCTCATGAGAATGGGATATCAAGCAAAGAATGCCTCAACAGAGCTCAAAATTAGGTGTTTGGATGCAATTTCATCTCTTTTTTATTTACCGGTAAGTAGACTGGGAAATTAATGGAGGACAGTGGGATATTTGGGGGAGAATAAATCTGTGTGAATCAACATAATTCTGGTTGACTTACATAAATGTTGACCAAATAAATGCCATCTTTCTCAGTCTTAGTGAAAGAAGAGAACCCTCATTATATGACTAGTAACATTTTTTAAGTTAAAGTGAAATCATGGAGTATGAGAATTAGAAGGGATCCTAGAGATTGCTCAGTCAACCCTATCAAAAGCAAAACAAAACAAAACAAAACTGAGGCAATTTGGGTCGTGTTTGCGGAAGAGTGCTCCAGACTTGGCCCACAGCCAGTTAGTGACAGCGTGTGCTCAGAACCCAGGTTTCCTGACTTCCTAATGTCTTGAGATTTTCCTTTTCTGTCCTCTAGCCTGAGCAGCAGACTGATGACCTCCTTAGGATGGCAGAATCCTGGTTTTCTTCTTTATCTCGGGACCCGCTGGAGCTCTTCCGTGGCATCAGCAATCAACCATTCCCTGAACTACACTGTGCTGCCCTGAAAGTGTTCACGGTAGGCATCCTCTTCTTTCTCATGGGCCCTTCTGGGACTGTCAGTTCCACGTGCCTTGGGGATACCCTGGGGATACACAAGTGTGTAGTGAGTTTCTGCCCTCACTGTTAGTGTAGACTAATGAGGGAGACAAACGTGTAAACGAATTGTTTAAGTGAAAGGTATTAGGTGCTGTGGCAAGTATTTGAACAGGGTGCTATGAGATCACAGAATTAATTCCAGATTCCTTATCTGCCATCAAGCAAATCCCTTACTGACCTAGCCCTAGTCTTCTTCCTGAGCCGCCTTAGTTCCTGCCATTCCCTTCTGGCACTCAGTGCTCTACAGATACCAAACTGCTTGTTTCATATCTCTGGGCCCTCGTGTACTCTCTGCACTCAGCACTCTTCCCTGACTTTGCCTGTTAACTTCTTGTTCGTTCTTCAAGGACCAGCTCAGATGTCTCTTCAGCGAGCTTTGCCCAAACCCACAAGTCTGAGTTAAGCAGTGTCGGCTCTCATACTTTGCATTTATTCATTCATTCAGCAAGTATTTGTTGAGTTTCTTTTCTTTGCTAGGTTCTGGGGATACAAGAGTGAACAAAATATACAAAGACTTTCCTTTCATATAGCTCACTGTCTATTGAGGGACCCAGGCAGAAATTATTATGTAGTTAATTGTATAATTATAGTTGTGGTAAGGATTATACCTCTGTGTTCTGTTTATTACACTTCGTTGAAAATGTTTATTTATTGACCTATTAACAAAATTTATTGAGAGTAGAAACCATATCTGATTTAACTTTTTAGCCTCAGCACTTACTGTGGTTCCCTGGGCTTGTGGAAATGTAGTGATCACTTTAGTAATCCTAGTAATGGGGTCTTAGGCAGCGTGCTTGGCCTACAGGGCGGGGGAGCAAGGAGAGGAGATGACGAGAAGGAAGGCTTCCTGCAGAATGTAATTCATGATCTGGGTTTTGAAGGATACAGTACACCTATCAACTTCAGGAATGGTGTGTTGTAGACTGTTTCACCCCTGTCAGTAGTCCCTGTGATGGTCATTTTGGCTCCTGCATGGGTAGTCTCATTGTCACTGGGTTTTTCCCCCTCCACTATTCTACGGTATGCTCCACTTAGGCAGGCATAGTTGTAGAGATAATTTTTTGATCTACTGGTTGGGATGACTTTTTATTTCAGCCCACCCCTCACCCTCAACTACTGTTAAGTAGGCTGATGTTTCTCAAACTGTAAGAGCTTGTTAGAACGTAGATTGTGATTCAGTGGTTCTGGGATAAAGCCCGAGATCTTGAATTTCTGACAAGTTCCCAGTCGATGCTAACGGGCTGCAGAGCACATTTTGAGAGGAAGAGACTAGACTGTCAACTTGATTGTTCCTTGTTCTTCACTGAAATGTAGTAGTGGGGTTTTAAACAAACCTTATAAAAGTTGCTTATTCATTTTTAAATTTGGAAAAGATTGAGAAGTAGAAAT